CTCTACAATAACCAACTGATAAACAACAAACTTTTTAAAAAAAAAAAATTATATATATTTTTTTCTATCACGACAAGTTTTTACACATTAAACCAATATAAATAAAGATGGCGAGTACATCTAATATTAAGAAATCTAATCACCAACGTAATTCGTCAAGTACGAATTGCAATGATCCTCCCTTTTTACGTCAAATTCTACCCATGTTGAGACCCACCATCACAACAACGCAAGGTGGTGTAGCTTACTCACAAGCTCAGCAGCAATCACCTCAGATAATTGTTCCGACACAATACGGATTTGGAGAATTGTTATCAAATTCCAACTCACAAAGTTCCAAGGATATGTCATCGACTTTAACGCCGATACCTCATTTCCTTCCAATGGATTATGGTAACATGCAAACAAATTATTTTGGGCCGGTTCAACCTTACCCGACCTATTTCCCTCAACAGTTGTATCACCAATCGATGCATCATCAGCACTTCTCTCAAATGCAACAACAACAACATAGTCAAGCGATGCAACAACCATTCATGTCACATGTTCAGATGTCACAGCAGCAAGCTGGCTCCGCTCAACAGGATCCGCAGTTTGACATGTCCGCGATTTCAACATTCTGCGATGATTGCACGAACCTTTTGATAAATAATGGAATATCGGCTGACGCGTTGATTTATCAAAGTATATGTAACAAGTGTAAAAGCAAATACGTTGGGATGAACAGCTATAGAAATCCCGTTGCTCCTCCAATGTTACAACAATCATCACCATCGCAACCTCCGCAACCGCAACTGCAGAATGTTCAACAGGCGTCCCGCGTCGTTCCACGTTCGATGTCACAACAAGTGACACTCAATAGTACGTCACAACAACAACAACAACAACATCATGCGACAACCCCGAATCATTCGATTACTCCGTCTCATATCGTTCCTACTCAGTCGTTGAATGTGATGCCATTGGATTCCATGTCTCAAAATGTATCTCAGTCAATCTCAGATTATTCTATGTCAACTAATTTGTCCAATCCGAATGATTTGCCGATTGATTTTTCACTTCATCAATCACCCACAATTTGTTATGAGGATAGTTGTGACAGAAACTCCTGTTCAAAGAATAGCGTCTTGAATGATGTCTTCTTTTCTGATCCAATGATTGAAGATACCGAAGAGTTACTTCATTGTGATAGTGATTCTTCTTCGGACACGGATATTGCGACTCCTCGTCAGAGATTTTCTCCTCCTTTAACGCCAACCGATTATATGAGTGGCGAAAATTTACTGTGGAGTATGATTTACGATGATTTCGATTTATCTAACAATAAATCTTCCGAGACATCATCATCCACGAACGCGTCCGAATCTGTCATCTCGTCATCTCAAGTTTTTAACTCGTATAGTCCTCCTCCGGTTAAATTGGAACTTTCAACTCCTACCACAATGTCTACCGTTACATCCCCATTAAATTCGGCATGCAACGCCTTTGAGGGTACCATTGATGGGACGATCGATCCTACTCTTATTTGTTCTAATACTGGAACGAGTTTTGGTTCAGATTCGAGCAATTTCAACGAAGTTTCCAAAACCATTGATCCTAGGTTCATTGAAACTTCGTCAAACGTGTCTTCTCATAATGTCACTAAAAAGCCCACACCAGTCATTACAAATTTTGTTGAATTCGGGGATGTGATGCCAAGTCCACCATTGGAGACTCCCGAGCTCGTTAGCGATCATAGCCTCAAGCGTAGGATGACTTATGAATCATCATCCGAAGATGATAGTTCCGATGCTGAATCCAGTGACAAACAATCACAAAAAAAACTTCGAGTTGACAATGGCGATTGCACCGACATCTCTTCCTCATTTTCAAATGATCATGATAATAGTATTGAACCTGCTAATGAAACTAATGAGATTAGTGATACCGTTACCGATGAATATCATTATAGTAGTGACACTGATTCTGAAGAAGACGACGATGAAGAATATCGTCCAACGAATAGTAATAAAAAATCTCGTACTACGAGAAAAGTTGCCAAGTCCCAAGGTAAAGCAAGAGGTTCCTTATCAAAGGGATCTGCCAAACCAAAGTCAGGTGTGGCTAAGAACAAATCAAAGGCATCAACAGCAAAACGGTACGCTATGTTTGAATCATTCATTCTATTTTCTTTTCACGTAAACTTTTAAAAACTAAATTTATTTATAATTTTTTTTTTTAATTTCTTATTAAAAAAAATAGTGGTAAGCAATCCTCAAAATCATCCAAGCCTTCTTCAAAACGATCAAGCAGGGTGAACTCCCCCACAGCAGTGTCAGTTGAAAGCCCAGCACCACAGAGTCTCTTAACACCCGAAGAATCTCAAGAAATGGAACGACATGAAGTTACATCACCTCGTCCCACCCTTTTTCCAACAATTTTTCAGACTTTAACAAGGTCAGGAATTGATTGGTGTAGATACTGCGGCACTACTGAGGGTGTTAACTGGAGACCAGGCCCATGGGGCAAGCGAACTTTATGCAAGTAAGTTTCAACTGGATTTTCTTTTCCTTTATTTCACCTTTATAATGAAGAATTCTTTTCAATGAAATTATATATTAATAATACCTATATCTATTTTCTAAATCGATAGTAAGCACGGATGTGACTACAAAGGCTACGGGTTCGCATGTAAACTTCCAAGGCTCGACTTGACCGGATTCGTCAACGAGTCAGTCGAAGATAGGGACCGTCCAGTCTTGCAACTCTGTAAGTTAAAGTTAATATGCTTTACTTATTTCGAACGTTATTTGAAACTATTCAAAACTAATCATTCGCTCTCTGAATGTTTTAGTCTGTACCGTATGTCAGAAGCAAGAATCATTTGTAGGAAATGTACTCGTCCGATGTGAAGGGTGCCCCAAAGCATTTCACCAGAAATGCTCATCCTCCCACATCACCGATGAGACAGTATCAAGCTCGGAACAATGGTTCTGCGAAGCTGGCTGTTCAGATAATGTGCGCAGAAAGCGTATTGGTAAGTTAAAATATATATATATATATTTTCTTTTAAATTATTTCAATTCATCTAAAAATTTTTTTCTAATATATTTAGTCGTCGAGCTACCAAGAAAAAAACTTCCATTAATGTCTACACCCAAAGTTCAAGCACAAGCATCAAATATTGAGACCGGAGTAGTACCTTCAGGTACTGTTTCCCGACCAAGAACTTCTCGCAACTCGTCTAGAGTATAAGGATGGGTTGTTGAGTAGTTAAGAACGATGATTATAAAGAATTTTTGTATAATTTGGATGCATCTTTTATGGAGGATTTGCATTATGATATTCTTTTTGATGAAAATTTTATTTGGACAATCGAACCGGAACATTTTTTTTTTTATAATAACGGTAGAATCGAACAATTGAAAATTTGCTCTAGTGGCAAGTTTCTATTTTTTTTTTTTTTTTTGACGAAAGCGACTTTTTTTGCGCCTCGATTAGCAAAGATGATGTCTTAGCAAAGAGGCGGTGTAATATTATATATTTTTTTAATTTTTTTTTAGAACAACATTAACCGTTGATGTTGTCATTGTTATATATATATTTTCGCAACGCATCATATATATATACATTACATTGTATATATTGTTTTTTTTTTTTAGAAAACAAACGGACAATTTTATATTATAAAATTTTGTGGTGGGTTTATTAAAAGGGTAAACGGTATTGAGTATCGTTGAAAGTAGTAATATTATATACACATAGATGATCAAGGGCACGAACATTTTTTTCTATTTCAAATCAATTTTATCACTTTTTTTTGCATTCCTTTTAATATCAAGTGCTTTTTTTTCCTTTAGTTTTATTTTTGATCAATAGTAGTAACATTTATTTTTTTTTTTTGTATAATTTTTTTTTTCCTTTAAGAATTCCTTTGTTTTTCCTTTGTACAGTTGAGGGAATTTTTTTTTTTAAGAAAAAAAAAAAAAAAAAAACCAAAAACACAATTAGGTTAATCACAAAACAACGAAATGATCCATCTTTTTTTTACGGAATAATATACGACACGAGAAAATTTTTCGAAAAAAAGCACCATTAATATTTTAGAATTTTAATCTCTACGAAAATATAGATTTATATAGACTTAATTTAAATCCACCTATAACACTTGTAAGCTTTTCATAAAACATCTACATAATCTTTTTAATTTTATTCTTTTTAATTTTTTTTTTTTCTTCACATTTGACTTTTTCACCACCCCAAATATACGTTTTTTTTACGCAATTAATTAAAAAAGATAATTAATAATAATTGGACAGAATTTTTTTTTTTTTCACTTTAATTTAATCAATTTTTTTTTTTTTTATTTTAATAATGTACATTTAATAATTTTTGGTATTGGATACATAAAAAATTTTCGTGATCCTTTTTTAAAAAAAAGGTTCAAAATAGATTTGTGTTCGATTTCTTTCTTTCTTCTTTTTTAATCTAATAATTTTTCTTTGTGAAAATTTAATTTACAAATAAAGAAAAAAAAAATTCTTTCAAATCTTACATAAAAAATAATAATCCAGATTTCAAGCATCAGCCAAAATGATTAGTCGTCTAAATTAGTTTCACGGGATACTAATTTCGGTCGGAACTATCAATAATGATCACAATTGGGGAGGGCGGGATTAGCCCGTTTTATTCGTAAAGTGAATATCCAGTTATAAAACAGTAATACAAAAAAAAAAATTTTTTTTTTTTAGGGGGAAATCATGCAAATAATAATTTTATAATGTATGTATGTATGTATGTATGTATATTTTTTTTTATTATTATTAATTATCATTATTAAATAATCATCTTTAAAAAAAAAAAAAAAATTGTTATTCAATTTTTTTTTTTTAAATGTAAACTGTTTCACGTGATTCTCGCCCAAGTCCCAAAAATGCTCGTTTTTTTTACATTTTTACAATTGTTACGTTAAAAAATAAAAAAAAAAAATGTTTCTTTTTTTTTTTTTGCTCTCCTTCGTTCTACACTCTCGATCTTAAATTACTATTGACCTTGTTGTTCTCACCGTTCATCGCGGCTCTAACATACATTAACGTGGCAATGAATAAATACAGTGCGGGATTTACATTTTGATAGTTAAATACCGAAATTGCTGATATGATGAAATATAAAATTATTCTTGGAATGAAAGATGTTGTTATGATTGTATTTTTAAGGAATTGTAAAGGTAATTCGATAGCCAGTACTATTAACCCGAAAACACTAAAAAAAAAGAATAAGGTTATTTCCAATTCCAAAAACGAAAAAGAAAGAAAAAGTGGCTAAAAACTAAAAACGAATTGCAAAGTTCACACTTACATGCAGATAATTGCCACAACGTTGAAAGGATTAAACAAAAAGTCAATATCCTTTAGGACATCTTTGAACATAGAATAACGATAAAAGATACCGAAAATCCCTCCTATTACCTCAACTATATAATATTTAAACGAAAACGAGTTCATGTCAATAAAATTACCACTTGCGGAAAAGTAATACCTCAAAAGAAACGAAACGAATTGATTGAATACATACAGGTACCAGCAGTAAGAGCGATCAATCTTGCCCATTGATTCCAAATGAGTTTACCCATTTTTTATTATGGTTTGTCGTTTGTTAAAGGGAAGCAAAAAAGTTTCAAAGAAAAAAATTGTTTTTATATACTTTGCCGGCAAAGTTTCAAATTATATGTGAATGAGATGGGTTAAAGGGTTGTGTTATATATATTTTTTCTAAGACCCTTTAGAAAAGAATGTTTTCGCGATTTAGATAGGATAAGGGAATAAAGTTCAATGAGTGAATGAAGTAGGGGAAAAATAATCTCAAACAAAAGAGAAAGACGAGAGGCTAAAATAGGCTAAAGAGGAATTTAATAAGACAGGAGTGCCTCTACAAGGTTACAGGAAATGCGAGTTTGTTACGAAAAAGATTTATATTCTTTTTATATTTTTCAAAATTGATTAAATCCTATAATTGGTACAATATTTAAATTAAAACATCATGAATGCACTTTAAAGACGAATCAAACTTGGTTTAACTATATTTAAATGACACTATTTATATTTAATTCCCGATTTGGCTAATTGCAATTAAAAAAAATTTCGCTTTTTAAAGTTCCGACTTGAAACGACAATAAAACTTAATAAACTTGTAACATCCTTAGTTGGAACATCCGTTTTTTTTTTTGGGCCTGAATTATGCACTAATTATTCGATCATTAAAAAAATGTGAGCAAATATTGTGTTAGTTCTGAAACAACATAATTGTTTATTTATCTCCCCCTTTTACTAAATTCTCTCTTCTTTTTTCTTTAGATATAAAATAAAAAGATTGTAGAGAACAAACTAAAAAAGACATTTGATTATGTTAGCATCCTATTAAACAATCACACTATCTTTTCTCCAAAAAAAAATTTCCACATGTTAATTTTAATAAACACAAAAAATCTGTCATCATGAATTGGTGTGTTGCAAAGGAAAATGGTCATTTCCAGATTTAGGTTTCAAAATTTATGCAAATTCCGTTGTTTTCCTGCACTTCATTTAAATAAAATTAGCCTGATTCCTTTGTGAAGGGACGCAAATCCATTCTTTAATAAGAATGATTATACAATCAATACATTTGAGTTCCTTCTAAATAACTGTAGAGCTTTTGGTAATTTTTCGCAGGTATTCCGATTTAATTTATCTATTTTAAAAACAAGATAAGGAGTAAGTTTCGCGTATATTGGACAATCTCGAATTCGGCTAGGCTTGAATTCTTTTAATGGCGCCCGAATATGATTTCGATTTTCGGGCTTTCCGCCCGTAAATATCACGTGTTTATCGCGTTACTCTTCGGCCAATCGCGAATAATGATCCATTTCTTACCTTTTTTGGGTGCTGTAAATCCAAGATCGGCAAGTCACGTTTCATTAATTAATTTAAGATCGTAATAAAGAAAATGTGGTCCCATTTTATAGAAAAATCGTCATATTTAGTGATGCTCAAAACTAATTTTCATTGGTTTAACTAATTTCGGGTTTGTTTTAACTTGACTTTTTTAAAAATTAGTTTAACCAAGTTTTTTCGGGCATTTCAAGGCAGCATAATTACTTATAAGGCAGTAACTGCATTTGGCCGCGGACCGAGGGCCATTGGCCGTGACCAAATTGGCAAAATGGAAGATTTTTTTTTAGCCGGCCAAATTGGTAATGTTATTAACTTCTTTATATAAAACTAAATAAATTTATGAACGTATCTTCATATAATATTACTTCTGAATTGATTATATATAATAGATTTTTCTGATGTTTAATTTTATTGATAATTATTATTTAATATATGATTATAGAAATCCAAATATAATATCTTTTTTATCTGTAAATATATAGTAACATGTGTTGTTAAGCCATAAAAAAAAATTCTTTTATACTAAATTTATAAATCTAAAAATAGTAAAGATTAGAAAATTAATTAATTAATATATAAAAGAATTAAATTTTGATCAGATCAATTATTTATAAAAAAAGTAATAATTATACTTAATAATCAAATTTTTAAAATAGGTATTTTTAATAGAAAGAAAATTTCAAAAAAATTTTTTTTTTTTTGTATTAAAATTAATTTTACTAATTAAAAAATCATAAGTAAAAATTTTATTTTTTAGTAATTTCTTTTATTTTTACACTAAATACTTATATCATTAATAACTAATTTTATTTTAATCCTTTGATCTTTACATATATAATAGGGTATCAAAAGTCACCAGGCACTTAAAAATTAAAAAATCAATGGAAATTTTAATCTCAAATTAAACTTTTTTTTATTAATTTAATCAATTTTAATTGAATAAGCAAAGTTATTTGTCATAATATTTTATATAGATTTTAAAGTTTTTATAAACGTTTAATTAGAAATAAAAATATTTATTATATATTTAATACAGCATTTTCAAATTTTAATACAAGATTTCAGTTATAATAAAACATTGAAATTATTAGCTATAATACATTTTTTTGTTCTAAGTAAACTTGTTAAATATATTAAAAATATATACACTACCCTGAAGAAAGTATCTGGGCACAGTTTTTTGTGAATTGTGACTTAAGTTTATATGGTATAAAAATATTATTATTTATATTTTTATATAGTGCA